GCCAGGAGCAGTGGAGAGGAAGGGGGCGGGGCCAGAGGGAGCAGGGGCGGGGCCAGGAGGGAGCAGGGGCGGGGCCACCGGCCGGAGGGGCTTATAAGGCATCGTCCCTTAGCTGCAGCCCGGGCTGCCCAGGGACTCCCTTCCCTGGGGGTAGCCCCCCCCCCCATTTAAATTAGTATTTCATCCTTGCGTGGGAGTTTGGGAGAACTGGGCGAGTGAAGGGTAGTGCAGGACGGACAAGGCGGGGGACCGAGGCAGGGCCTCTGAGGGGTTCCCAGTGGCAGGCCAGGAGATGGCCTTGGCGGGAGTCACGGGTCTTTCTGCCGCTGCGGCAGCTGCGACATGTTCGCCCAGGAGAGGCAGGGCTACACTCGCCCTCGGTGCAAGCTGGTGGTCTGCTGGAGGAGGAGGTGAGCTGCCTGAGGGCCGAGAGCTCTCCAGGCCCCCGGGAGCAGCCCCCCTCTGGACAAGGGTCGAGGGAGAGGCCACCGGAGGAGCAGCTGCGGAGACATGGAGGCATGTCACCCACAGGAGGAGGGGGCCAGCACAGCCTCCTCCTTCCCTGGCGCTGATCTGGAGCTGGGAAGCAGGCTCTCTCCACCTGGGGAGGCTGGGGCTGATGAGGCCTCGGGGGATCAGCCTGGGACCACATGCGGCCAGGGAGCCTCTGCAGGGGAGGCGAGGGCCAGGGCACGGCTGCCCACCACCACGAGGAAGACGCGGTGGCGGGTGATTGTTGTTGGGGACTCCCTGCTGAGGGGCACTAGGTGGTGGTGTGCTGCCCCGACCCCGAGGCGAGGGAGGTCTGCTGCCTGCCGGGCACGCGCATCCGGCTGTGAAGGACAGAGTGGAGCGCCTCGTTCCCTCTGGGGGTCACCAGCCTCTCCTGGTGATCCATGTGGGCACAAACGACGTGGCCAGGCAGGGTCTGGTTGGGACCACCAGGGACTTCGAGGCCTTGGGGAAGGAACTCCGGGAGCTAAAGGCCCAACTGGATGGATGCAAAAGGAGGTGGATAGAGGGATTAGAAGAAAGAGGAACCTCCATAGGAAATGGAAATGGGTACTGGGGCAAATAGAGAAAAGGATATACTGGGAGGAGGAGGCCCGTTGCAGAAGGATTCTTCGCAAGCCTAAGGCTGATTACGAGCTGAGACTTGCCAAGAATATCAAGAGCAACAAAAAGGGCTTCTTTCAGCAGGTAAATAGGAAGAGGAAGGGGAGACAAGTGGTGGGACCACTAAATAAGGAGGAAGGAGATCCAGTGACTGATGCGAGGGAACAGGCACAGAGGCTAAATGACTATTTTGCCTCTGTGTTCTCCCCAAAGCAGGACGGGGGATATCCGCATAGGAGATTAGATGAGCCAGGGATTTAGGGGCACAGATTAGAGTCACCCCCCTTGAAGTTGAGGGGCTCCTCAGGGCATTGGACATTACAAAGGCGCCAGGCCCTGACAGGTTACACCCGAGAGTACTTAGAGAGTTGGCAGGGGTTCTCTCACGCCCGCTGGCTCCATTTTTGAGGCCTCGTGGAGAACAGGTGAAGTTCCAGAGGAATGGAGGGTGGCATCAGTGGTCCCAGTTTTCAGAAAGGGTAGTAGAAGGGACATGGGGAATTACAGACCTGTTAGCCTTACGTCCATTGTAGGAAAAACAATGGAAAGGCTCATAATAGACAGAGATCTAGTGATACTGGATAGGGAAGGGAGGCTGGCGGCCACACAACACGGCTTCCGCAAAAACAGGTCCTTCCAGACAAACCTTGTGGGATTCTATGACAAGGTTTCGAGATGGCTGGATGGAGGGGATGCAGTGGATGTGGTATACCTGGATTTCAGCAAGGCCTTTGACAAACTGCCCTGTGATATCCTGGTGGAGCAACTGCGGAGTTTTGGGATACACCAAAGCACTGTCCGGTGGATTAGGGCATGGTTGACTGACCGAAAGCAGAGGGTAACCATTGGTGGGGAATCATCGGGATGGAAGAAGGGGTGAGCAGTCTGCTGATCAAATTCGCAGACGATACTAAAACTGGAGCAGTGACCACGAATTAGGAGCAGGTACTCCAGATCCAAAAGGATCTGGACAGACTATGGAAGTGGGCAGGAGACAACAGGATGGCGTTCAATGTGGGTCTTGCACTTGGGGCATAGGAATAGGTGTCATAAGTACAGGTTAGGTGACAAGTGGCTGGAGAGCAGCACTTGTGAAAGGGACCTTGGGGTGCTGGTTGACTGCAGGCTGAACTTGAGTCAGCAGTGTAATGCGGTGGTCAAGAGGGTGAACGCCACCCTTGGTTGCATGGCCAGAAGTGTGGCTTCTAGATCGAGAGAGGTATTACTACCACTCTACATGACTCTGGTGCGCCCGTAACTGGAGTATTGTGCTCAGTTTTGGGCCCCTCATTACAAGAGGGATACAGCCAGGTTGGAGTCAGTGCAGCGTAGGGCCACAAGGTGGGTGGCCGGTTTGCAGGGGATGCCGTATGAAGCGAGACTGAGGGAACTGGAGAAGAGGAGACTCAGAGGGGATCTGTTGGCGATGTGCAGGTATGTGAGGGGATGTCACATGGAGGTGGGCAGAGACCTGTTCTCCCCTGCAGAGGAAGGCAGGACACACTCCAATGGAGCTAAGCTCAGGGAACCAAGGTTCAACTTGGATGCCAGGAAGCACTTCCTGACGGTCAGGACCCCAAGGGTGTGGAATGGGCTTCCACGAGAGGCCGTTGAGGCCCCATCGGTGAGGGAGTTCAAGGATAGGCTGGACATGCACATGGTGGGCATGTCGTGAGTGGAGCCGGCTGGTGCCGGAGGTCGGACTGGATGGCCCGGGAGGCCCCTCCTGACTCGCTCTGTTTCTATGATTCTATGAACAATGAGCAGGGCCATCAAATCCTCTGCTCTGTGTCAGGCTCTGGGCTGCTCCAGGGCTTCCTCTGAAGGCCAAAACCGGAACAGCCACTGTAGTGTTTGCAGGATCATTCCCAGACCCTGCTGGAGCACCGTCTCCTGAAAGGAGCCTGTTGGGAGGTCTGGGAGATGAGCTACAGAAGAGCAGGACCTTCCCTGCCCTGACTGCCTGACAGTGCCGGTCTTCCTGCTGGCTCCGGTAGGGTCAGGTCTGGTGCTTTGCCTGGTCTGGTTCCAGCCCAGCCTTGCTGCACGTGCTGCCTTGCCTCAGGCCTTCCAGCGAGTTGCCCCTCCTGCAACCTGCTTTGCGGTCTCTCATCTGCGGTGCAGGCCTGCCTGCCTGCCAGCTGCAGCACATTCCAGACCCTGCCCCTTGCCTGACCCTTTTGGATTGGTTCTGATAGGTGTGAAAGGATGATTTGAAATAAGGGAGTAAAGAGATTTAAAAAGGTAACAAAGAAAATTACTTAGCCCAAAGGAGGGGAGGGGCCAAAATCAGCGAGCACAAGGTGTGGGAAAACAGGCAGGAGGGCAAATACTTCCTGATTGTTTATTAACAAGCTGGGCAGAACAAGATGAGCCTCTTGTAGCCCCACAGGGAGTGGGGGGGGGCAGGGAAGATTGGGGAGAAGGGCCGGTGCTGGGGCAGCGCGGAGCAGGCAGGCGGAAAGAGTGTAACTCTCAGTACCCTATAAGCCAATTAGGGGAAAGGAGGAGGGAACAAGCGGCCGGCGCAGGGTTCAAAAGGAGGTGTGAACATCTGCTCAGGGGAACAGAAAAGTGGGAAGGAAAACATTCGCTCCTGTTCCCTTCATTGCAATAAAGTTTTAAAAGGAACTCTCTGCATGCCTGGAATATTTTTCTCTTCCGGCAGAAAGAGTTCCCTCCCTGCCTTGTTGTTTTGTGTTGCCACACTTTGCTCTGCTCCTTTGCCTCGTTTGCCACGCCATCACTGCTCTTGTATCCTGCCTCAGGTCCCTGTTCTTGTCACCTTCCTGGTTCTCAGCCCTTGTCTTGATCACAGCCACCACCTGGCCTTCGTTGGATGCTGGGGAAGGAAAAACTTTAAAGACGCACCAGACCACTTACGAGAAAGTCACAATCCAGACAGACTTTTATTCACTGCTGCAAAATGCAGCTGTAGGGAGAGCACCCCTGAGGGCCCAAGAGTCAACCAGGCAACTCCGCTCCTGTCACAGGAACGGCTTTCTCTAGGTCACATCGGTCACCTCTGGTCTCTTCGTGGAACACAATCAAACAGGAAAGAAGGAACTCAGTGTTGCAAACAGTTATCAGGTGGCAAACTTTGCTGAGCCTTAGCCTGGAGATTTCAAAATGCCAGCGGTAGCTGCAAGAGATGTTTCTTTCCAGAAACTTAATCTGCAGAGGTCCTAGGCTTAGTTATACTTCATTTCATGATACACAGGGGTGCCATAACTTTAGCTGACCTGTAAACTACTTTTCTTCCACATTTCCCCCTTGGACGGCTGAGCTTCATCCTTGGAGAGGCAACTGCCTCCTCTTTTGTCATGCAACCATTTCAGTATTCTCTCTCCTGTTGGTCTGTGGTCTATTCATATTGAACAAAATTCGGCATCATTGTTCTCTCTGTTGCTCGGTTACAATTTGTGTTATCAACATTTGCATAGCATTGGTTTCAGCTTTAGTAGTCATACAATAAAACTTTACAATTCGGGTTATACAGGATTTTATTAGTAAATGACTGGTATAGATTAAAGCAAAACAAAGTGATATAATTCCTTTAGAATGTGGACCTAAAGCAAGGTCAAAACCTAAGCACAGGAACTCACTGACAGCCCAGCTGATCTGCAGCAGCAGCATCCAGGTCTGGAGTTTCTAGCATTGCGCAGCTGCTTTAGTTGCCAGGAGAACTTGGCATGGACCCTTCCAGGGAATTTTTCTCCTGATGTACTTCTGGGCACATATACTTAGTTGCCCAGCCCATGGAATGACCAGACTTGCCAGCTTTTGTAGGTAGTGCAGTGCATGCCTATGAATGAAAGGCTTTAATACATTTTGTTAAGATTTTCACTAATTCAGTAAAATTTCATCTGCCACATGAATGTCCTGAAGAACCATATTTGCTCAGGAAGAATACAAGACTCATCCCCAGTTGATTTCATGCTCATTAAAGCTTCTGATAAAGCATCCGGCCATTTCTGCTCTGTTCCAACACAAATATTTTTAGCTTACTCTTGTGGGTTCTGCTTTGTTGTGCTACTGTCCCTGCTGATTCAAGGTAATGACAATGGAAATTTTGCTGAATTTGGAGTGCTTCACTGACTTGCTTTGTCTACAGAAATGTGTCTCCCTGGTTGGGTTTATGGATAATGGTAGTTTAAATCGTAGAATCGAGTTCACAATAATTTCTCGCTTACAGGGATGGTACTTGCCTTTGTAGATAGGTGTCAAGATGCTTCAGCTTGGCCTGAATGCATGCACACCCAAACTAACACATATTTAAACCAATAATACTTGGTCATTTGGATGAAATAAATCTGAATGTTCATAAAACCCCAAAGAGGGGCTGCACTGCCCTTTTTGTCACTACATATCTGCCCACACACTCGGCCTGACAAATTGGGCATGCAAAACTATTGTGCTGAGCTACTGTAAGAAAATTCAGTGCCAGTGCATCAAGCTTTACATCTTTTGAGACAGGACCTATCCCATAATATGCACGGGCTTGGTGTGGGATCTTGGCACAAATGGGCAGCTGTCCTGACTCTGTCAAATCAGCTCCTGCTAGTCTCCAGAGTTTTGGAATCTGGGCCTGATTTTGCTTATCAGCGGCATCTTGCAGTATGGTTCTGCTCTTGGAAACCAGCTTCCTGTCCGAAAACAGCAAATTAGTGTCCCAAGAAATAGAAATCCTGGCAAGTTTGGCAACTCAAGCCATTTGTTTCCTCTCTCCACAACATCTTTACCCTCTGAACTGCACATTTAACCACAACTACCTTGTGCAGGTAATGGGAATGCAATTCAGTAATGCATCCACAAAAAGATCATTCCAAATTTGAACTCAGTCTCCTTTGCTTTTGTAAGTGTCTCAAACAATATACCTTTCTAGCTGCATAACAAAAGTCTGCATATAGTTTCTGTTTTGTCATTTTCATTTATTTATTTATTTTTCAGGCTTAGATGCTGTTTAATATCCCAACAGGACTTGGTTATTCTTTGCTATGACACACACGAGCAAAATCGCTTTAGCAAGACCTTTCCTTCCACAAAATGCACTCCTGCTTTCTGGCTTTGGCCTGATCCTTGACTATGACCTTGCTTCTGACTTCACAATTGGACTTGGGACTGTGCTTAGAATCAGTCTTGCCTTGATCTAACCCTAACCCCCAGAGCCTGACACTTAGACTTCCAAGTCCAAGGGAAGCCATGATGTGGCACCAAAATGCACGGGTGCACTCTTGTAGCAGATGCCATCACTGCTGGGTCAACATGTCCCCTCCCAGGAGGAGCACCCTCTGTCCTCTGCCTTCCCTGCACAGATGAGCATTTGGCTCTTCACCACACCCTCAGTCATTCACCACCTTAACCTTCTGTCCCCTCCAAAGGAAGCTCTGTGGATTCTCACCACCGATGCCTCTCTCCAGAGCATCTTCACCACAGCTTAAGCACATGCAGGAACCTTCAAACACTCTGATGCTCTGCACATGAGACTTCTAAGGCAAGAACCCTGAAGCTCATCCCTAGAGTGTTTTTATCTTGTTCCCTCCCCCCCCCCATTTCAGGGGACCACACAAAGGGCTTGGGGACCAGCTCTTTTATCAAGATGAGCTCATTCCAGTTCAGATGTCCCCTCTCATTCTCACCAAAGTGCAACATGTGAATGAGACAAGAAGGGGTTTTCGCATCAAGTATTTATTTTAACAAAATCAGCCTAAAACTGCAATCCAAGAAGTTTTTTGAAGACAGAAAGGAAAAGTAGCACTTGGTTCCTTAACAGAATTGTGCCCTGGCTTCAGGCCCAGCGTGGGAGCCTTGGTTGCTTGCAGGCAAGTTTTGCAGTCCCAGGCATGCCCACTCAGAAGGAAATCCATCCATATCACTGCCAGACCTCCGTGTACCTGAGGAGTTCTTGAGCCTCTTCCCGGCTACTGCTGGGAAAGCACAAAAGATTGCTCTGGATGCAAAAAAATGCCATTTAAATGTGCTTCTGCCAGGCATTGCATCCAAGGATTCAGTAGAAAACCGATTTGCAACCAGAATTCTTCCCAGTTGGCATGGAAATGGAGATGTCTCTCTCACTGGCCTTCTGCACCCTCCACATTTTTTACAGAGTGTTATAACTAGCTACTTCCACCCCCAACTTCAGGAAGGCCATGTCAGCTTCACCTCTACTGGCAGGACTAAAAAATGCAAGGGCAGGGGTGCTCAGGGCAATATCCTGGGGGAGCATCCAACGGATGCATGCTTGAAGGCCTTCCAGAGCAGCCTCAGGGAAGCCTCCCGGTGTCCATGCACCATCTGGCAACGGGGAGGGCAGTGAAGAAGGGTTGCAGCCAGTGCAGGGGTGCTTGTGAGACAGTGTCAGCATCTTCCCTGGACAGGACAGTCCAGTCTGGCCTGTGGCACAGGTCTCCTTCCTCGCTGGTTAGAAAATTGGGAAATGGCACAGAAAGCCAACAGCAGAACAGTGGAGCGATGCCCGTCCATCAAAGTGAGCGGCTGATTGTGAAGGCTTGTGATTTAATGGGGAAATGAACCCCAGGGGCGAGAAATTCTAGGATTGGAGGTATTTGGCTGGGCAGGGAAGATAAACAGGCCAATCAACTCAGCTGAGTTCAGCCAGAAGGCCAGGTGAGGACAGGTGCAGCTCAGCCAGCGACTTGGGAATCCTGTGACAGTCCTGACCCCTCAGTGAGGGAGGGAGGCATGTTGGCCCAGCATAAAGGAACAGCTGCTTGCTTAACGCGGTATATCCCTCATTCACCATGACAGCCCCCTCTGCCCTAGATCATGGGTTGTCAACTGACACTGACCCAGCACAGACAGTACTTGGGGTATTTAGAGTAGAGGCTGCATGAACGTCCCATCCTGTCCCTTCCCTTCTCCCACCTGATTTCACTGGCACCTGGCCTTGCTGTGATGGGTTGCAGGCTCACCCGGCCCATCCAGCAACAGGTGACCTGTTCCCCAGTGCATCTTGGAGGGCAAGTGCAGTTAACCAGTGGGAACATCAGGGTGGAGCATGGGAAAAAGGGAGGGGAAGGGAGGCCAGTTTGCCTGAGTCCTGACCCTGCCCTTTGCGGTATGGAGGGTCAACTGGAGGAAGCCAAATAATTTAATACAGCTCCAGCCCACTCTGTGCCACTTGGCAGGTCAGGGACCTCAGAGTCCCAAGATGGGCCAAGAAAATCTGCTCTGGGCCACTGATGAGGCCTTGCAGAAAATGTGCTCCTGGGACTTGTGCATCGTGTTTCATAAAAAGCAGATCTTGATCCCTGAATCTCAGGTGACCACATGGAAGAAACAAAAGGGAAGGACATGAGCAAGTGATTGTAATCTCCTGAAATGAAATAATAACAGCCCTTGTACCATCGAGCAGCTCCCACATGGAAAAGCTTGTATATTTCCTTTGAACAACCGCAACAATTTCTTCATTTGTTCTGCTCTGAAGCTCACACTCTGTATAATGGTTTGCATTTTAGTAGGACAGTTTGAAATGTAGCAACACATAATAATAAATAGGTTATCACATTATTGCTGCTCTTGTTTGTTCTGAAGTTCAGAAACCCTTAACTGCTTGCATTTTGGAACAGCAGAATTGCCATTTCTACAGAAGCAAGAATCATTGTGCGAGAGTGAGGGTGGGGGACCCAACAAGGATTCCAAAGAGACAAGCCCTGAACAGTTATCCAGTCAGCCAAGCTTAGTAACCAACATGCATGTCCTGAGCTGGGCCAGTGCAAAGAACGTGGCATACCCGAATCACAAGCAAGCATGTGTGCGCCCCGCATGTCTCAGCCATGGGTCCTTCAGCCAAGAAGGCTGTGGATGGAGCGCCCTCTCCTCTGAGGGTGGGAGCTGGGATGGCAGCAAGCTGGCAGTGAAGCAGCGTTCAGACGCAGAAAGAAAGGGGGTCTCTGGCACGGTGCAGCCAAGGCTGCCGCCAATCGCTCGCCTCCAAGGGCCATCTCGCCAAAGGGAACTGCAGAGCTGCCATTTTGCGTGAGCCAAGCGCAAGCGATCATGTTGTCAACCCAAGTGAGGAGGAGAGCTCCAACAGGAAGGCCCAGAGAAGGAGTACAATACGAATTAGAACTTGTGAGGTACTGTCAGAGCAGAGCTGCTGTCTGTCTATTATTTTGACACAATCCTCCAAAGAAGGAAACACATCATGCTTCAGAGAATCCAAAGTGGAAGAGGACTGCATTTGAGAGAAGCTGTCGGAGCCAAGCAGGCAGCGGGACGGATTTGCTGCAACGACTGCCATCCACCCATAGCTGCAAAACATTTAGCACTTCCTTGGCTCTCTCCAATCAAGAAACTCATTGAAACATTCTGACATTCTTTCTCCCATCCTTTGAGGTGCAAGCAAGAATACCATCTGCAAACAACTTCCTGCAAGAAAAGTGGTATTTCCAATCTACAGTTTTAGATTCCTCTGTCCTCTCTGAATCCCCCACCACTCTTGAGACCCTCAGAAGCTCTGGTAGACCTCAGTTTTCTTTCCACAGACCAGGTCTGGCTGGTGGATGGCATTCCACATCACTAGCATCTCGTAGGGCACAAATCGATGGACCAAGAGGAGCTCTCTATAGTAACAGGGATCGAACGAGCTCACTCGCGAGGACGGCAACCTCACGCCCACTGTCCGGATACCCATATGGGAGGAGGGCATGAGCCCTGCTTTCTGCAGGCACATCCCCAAGTAGACGTCATCAATGGGGAACAGCTCAATGCCAAGAGATTCTTTGTAGATGGTGCGGGAAGTGTAACCAGACATGAGCAGGCCCCCGCCCCCGCAATACGGCGGGTAAGAGTTGGACGTGGTCACTTGCTCTGGCACATAATATTTGCTCCACTTCTCACGGATGGGGCCCACGTTGGTAATCAACTGCCCCACAAAAAGATGTTCATCTCCTGCACCAGGAACACTCAGCAGATAATGGACAATATTGTTGGTGTTGGCAAAAACATCATCATCGCCGTTGAAGATGAAACGGACGCCCGGGCACCTGGCCTCCATCCAGCTGTGGAACAGAACCTGCTTGAGGGTCAAGTTGAAGAAGCTATCCTGGAAGGCCCACTGGAGAATGTCCCTGTTCTCCTCGGACTCTAGCTTCAGCAGCCGGCTGAGCTTCCATGCTTCCTGGGCATTTGCTGCTTCCCCCACGAGGAAGACCCGCCGAATGCGCATGCCTGCAAACATGCGTTCTTGCCCCCACGTCTTGCGGATGACCTCACGCCGCTCATAGTTCCCGGGTGAGGACTTGATGGCCAAGAGCAAGAAGACCTCATGGGAGATTTTTGGACTGCCGCATTTCTCTGGGACATCTAGGAGCAGTGGGAATTCTTTGCAATGTTTATACCACAAGAAGTCTTTGATGTGAGCAGGCAGTTCTGCAAAGCCAGAGACATTGGCTGCCAGCTTGTTTGCCTGGCACTCCATGATGGGTTTGGACATTTCAGTAGTAATTGGCAGGATCAGAGCTGGGCCTTCCCTTTCCTCCTTGGAAACATGCACATTGGAAGGTCTGTTTGTTTGGAGAAGAAACAACAAGCCTGTGAATCCTACCACAATCAGGAGGGTGGCTTCCAGCTTGTAGCACCAGTGCCGAAGCATCCTCCCCTGAAATGAGATGAGATGAGATGAGATGAGATGAGATGAGATGAGATGAGATGAAATGCAAGGAAAGGAAAGGAAAGGAAAGGAAAGGAAAGGAAAGGAAAGGTCAGGTCTTGGCGGATGAGGGATTCACGGTAGTGCTCGCACAGCTTTGCTGTGTTCCCTGCTGCAGGAGCACTACCAATGGCAGCAATTTAAAAAGGCAGTATTTCTGGAAGCCCATGTCATGTGGTGGTCTGTGTGATGGACTGGGCTTGGGAGACCCAGGTTCTAGTCCCTGCTCAGCCATGAGGCCCAGTGGGTGACTTTGGACCAGTCACTTCCTTTTAACTTCTTGAAAGCCAGTGTGGTCTAGTGGTTAGAGTGGTTCTGGGACTCAGACCATCTGGGTTCTGTTCCCCACTCAGCCATGGAGCCAACTGGGTGACTCTCAGCCCAGCCTACCTTGCAGGGCTGTTGTAGTGGGGATAAAACTGAGAGCAGGAGGAGAATGATGTGAGCCACTCTGAGTTCTTTAAAAAAAAAGGGCAGGATATGCATTTAATTAATACAGAAAACATAAATAACCTACCCTACCTCAAACACCAGTTGTTGTGAGGATAAAAATGGAGTGGAAGAGTATATAAGCTGCCTTGAGTCCCTTGCACAAGGGAAAAAAGTGAGATATAAATGCAGTATCAATGCTATTCAGATTGATGTAAATCATGTTGACCTATCTCACAGGAAGTTATGTGGAAGGGGCAGGGCTGTCTTAACAGCACGATGGGCCCCGGGCAAAGCAGTGTCCTGGGGCCCCTACAGCAACTACAACTACTGTTAACTTTGGAAGCTTTCCAATTTTCCAAGGGTTAACACACACAGATTAGTATGGGGCCCAGGGCAAGGGCCCATCAGGCCCAGGCGATCAGACAACCCTGGGAAGGGGCACTTATGTGAACTACCTTGGGTCCCCTGCAAGATAAAAGGCAGGGAAAACAGGAAATGGAGTGACACCTGTTTCAGTGGAGGGCTGTTTCTGATGCCACGCAGCTGCAGAGGGTGTGATGTTTGCTGGGACCAAGGCTCAACCCTTGTGCGACAGTCAAAAAAACTAATCCAAAAATACATCTGGAGAGCATTTCCTGGCCTGAGCCATGCTGTGCCATTCCTCACCTGCGATCAAAGGTGCCTTGCAGTTGGAAATGCATCTGCCATGGCAGAAGAGTATGCACAAAATATTAGGAAGCTATCATAAACACTTGAGGGAAAGCTTTATCATAACTGGAAGGGACCGATCTTTGGTGTGGCGAGGTTAAGAAAGACGACTGTTGCAAGCAAAGCTGTGGTCACCTGGGTCTCAAGCTCACACCCATGGAAAAGCAACCCCTCTGGCCCCGCCCCCTCCTCTCCGCTGCCCCGGCCCCGCTCCCCCGCCCAGCCCCT